TTCTTCTCTTACAGAGTCCAGGAAAGGAATGAGACAAATTCCCAGTGCCAGTCAGTGGAAGTATCGGTTTTGAGAACACCCCATTACTAACTTTACCCCTTGTTCCAATACCACCTGCAATTGTTTGCTAAAACTAATATTCTTAAAGCAAAATCGTAGAATCCTAGAAATGTTGGTGTTGGAAGGGACCTTAAAGATCTAGTTCCAAGCCCCTTGACATGGACAGGGAAACCTTCCATCAGACCAGGTTGGTCACAGCCCTGTCTAACCTGGCCTTGAACACTGCCAGGGATGGGGCAGCCACAGCTTCTCTGGGTAACCTATGCCAGTATCTCACCACCGCCTCACAGCAAAGAATTTCTTCCTTATATCTAATCTAAATTTACCCTCTTTCAATTTAAGGCTATTCCCACTTGTCCTGTCCCTACAGGCCCTTGTCCAAAGCCCCTCTCCAGGTTTCCTGCAGCCCCTTCAGGCACTGGAGCTGCTCTAAGGTCTCCCCTTCAGGAGCCTTCTCTTCTCCAGGCTGACCCAGCCCAGCTCTCTCAGCCTGGCTCCAGAGCAGAGCTGCTCCAGCCCTCGCAGCATCTCCATGGCCTCCTCTGGACTGGCTCCAGCAGCTCCACGTCCGTCTTGTGCTGTTGCCCCAGAGCTGGATCAGGGCTGCAGGGGTGGGTCTCCCCAGAGCACAGCACAGGGGGAGAACCCCGTCCTGCTTGACAGCCCAGCACCCAGGGTGGGGTGGTTTTGGGCTGGAGGCACACACTGCCAAACCATAGTGAGCTGCTCATCGAGCAACATCCCCAAGTCCTTCTCCTCAGGGCTGCTTGGAATCCGTTCTCCTCCCAGCCTATATCTGTGCCTGGGATTGCCCTGACCAAGGTGCAGGACCTTGCACTTGGCCTTGTTGAACTTCATGAGGCTGGCATTGGCCCACCTCTCAAGTATGCCAAGGTCCCTCTGGATCCATCCGTTCCCTCCAGAGTGTTGGCAGCACCACACAGCTTGGTGCCATCAACAAACTTGCTGGGGGTGCTCAATCCCTGTCACCAGCAAAGATGGTGAGCAAGGCCAGCGCCAATAAGCAGCCCTGAGGAGCACCACACCTCCTCTTCCACTGTTTGTACCTCTAGAATTAACTGGCAGAGTTCATTCTCTATTTCCCTCCCCCTAAAACGCCTGGCAGACACTTAGCACCCTATATCACTAGATGCCCACACCCTAATTGCAGCTTTTCCCCTTGCCTTCCCTTACCAAGCTAAAAGCGGGCTCCCCGCGCTCCGCCGCTCTTCGCCGTTACATTCCTGTCCTCTAGTGGGAAAATCGAGCCTAGCAACTTCTCTCGCTCGCGGAGGAGAGGGAGGAAAAGCCCCGAGGCACTGAACGCAGTCAGTGCAGCCGCGGCTGTGCCCCGCTCCCCCCTCTGCACGTGTAGGCGAGGGGAAGGCTCCAGCGCCTCCGCTGCGGCAGAGCCAGATGGCAGGAGACAGAGCTTGGAAGGCTCCTATAAATATTTGTTCTGCTCAAGCAAATATGCACTTTTTCAGTTTCTCAGCCAATCTTGAGAAGTTTGCATCAGAGGCTTTATCACAAGATTTCTTGGAGCTCAGAAGGGGTTTATAGGAGATGGTTTCATTTAAGCAGAAGTCCAGAGCGCTTTTAAAAATGTATTTAATTTGCTTTTCTGAGGATGCGAGCTGCAGGATTAAGGGGAAAGAGAAAAATCCCTGAAGGAAAGTAAAACCAAACGGTAGAAATAGGAGGCCAGAGCTTGCCACGTGTCTAGCCAGGATGGACTGATAAAAGCTGAAACACTAACTAAGCAAATATACATAGACTAATTTCTGACACACCAGATCTGCTGGAGAGCTCCTGTGAAATGATGGAGAGCAACGGGTCTTAAAAACCTCAACACGTTAAACTAGAGAAGGACTAGTTACGTTGGAAACAGCGCATTGTATCTGAATAAAGAAGCCAGATGGGTGACAGACAGATCTTTTGAAGGCTCCTATAAATATTTTGTACCTTTGTTTTAATATAAGGTGTCCCGTGCAAGAGCTTGTCCTGGCAGCTCCACCGAGCCATTGGTGCCACAGGTGAGAGCAATGCCAGCAGCCACAAGCTGCTCTGGCAGCAGCAGCTCAACCGGTGGGTGCTGAGGAGCTGCAGGGAATCAGTGGGTGCTGAGGAGCTGCAGGGATTCAGTGGTTCCTTCATCCAGTTTTTGAAAGCAGCTTTCACAAGCTGCAGCTCCTGTATTTACTTGGTTAATTCCTTCCAGTTGTGAGCTGCTGTTAGAGTTTGTTTTCCTGTTTTCAACAGTGGGGAAAGTGCAGAACAAAACAAACAGTGTTGGTTCCTTTCCAAACTGCATTTTTCATTCCATTACAGTTTTGCAGCTAGAAGCACTGAATTGCTGAAAAAAGATCTATCCACATCTTCTCATCTCAAACAGCGGCTGAGAAAATTCCCATTAAAATGAAATCTAAGCAAAGGTGATTGCTGGCTGCAAGTTAACTTATACTGAAGCAAATCATCCCAGCATCGCTCCCTGTCTTTTGCCCTCTAATTGTGTTCTTTCTCCAACCGCTGAAAGAAACCAATTTGACTTAAAACCCCACAAACCAACCAGAAAAACACACCATGGCGTGCTAGAGCTTCTAACACAACTTTCTGACTGCCTCTATGCAAGCTGAGAATAATAATTTCCTTGTAAGTCAGAAAGATTTAGCTCATGGTAGGACTGCCTGAATACAATGTCCTGAAGTAGATGGTGTTAATGTTATTTTAATCCATGGTTTGGCATGGATCCTGACGTGTCCCCAGCAGACAGATGGGAATGCAGTGGAGCTCTCTGTGCCTGCGTGCTGCACATGGCACTTCTCAGAAAAGGCAGAAGAGCTTTAGTCCTCGGGGCTCACCAGGTTATTTTCTGCATCAGACCTAGCAGAAAAGAGGATGTACATGACCGGATGATGTCTTTGCAGCCCTGTACCTCCAGCCCATTTCATGCTTCGCTGATACTCAGTGAAGGATGGGCACACCTCAGCTCTCCTTCCTGCGTGTTCACCTCCATGCCAAAGGCATGCAGGGCTCTGCAAACCCTTTGATATGTGGTTGTACTGTGATAGGGAAATTTCAAAACATGAAACTGCTGAAGCCTGGATCCAGTCCTGAACCCAAGGCCTACATCTCCTTGATGTCTATGAATGCCCCCCAGCACATTGCATGGTCTAGACTAGAGGATTCCTTCAGATTCTATTCAGCCTTATTTTCTTCGATCCATCCAATTTCCTATCAAACCAGAAACTTCCCATGCCAATACAGGTACAACTCCAGCCCCTTTGGTAATTTTTGCAGTCTCCATTAGAGATTCACAGCCCTGAATGAAGTGTAGTTGGTTTAGCACAATCAATGGACAGCAAAGAAGTTTCATCATTCAATCTCTTTTGTTTGCAGTAGTGCAATTCCCCTTCTGGAGCCCTGCCTATCTAATAGGCCTATATTCTTCTATGTCCTGGTCCTCTCTCACCTGATCACAGCAACAGATGGGGTGTATGGATTAGACACTGGATGTTCATTGTGCCAGAAGGAGGGTGGACACAACGTCAGTTATCCAAAATGCACAGTGGGAGGGCTGGAAGGTGTTGAATGTTTCACATCCCTTCCATGTTTTCTCTTAGATGTATTGTGAGAAATGAGATCAATTCAACTCTTTTTTTCTACAGGTTAGAATAAAGAAATACAATCCTCTTTGACTACCCTGATAACACGTCCTCTTGCTGGCTCATTATAACCTATTGTGAAGCATTTCAAAAGATGAACATTTCACCATATGGGTCAGGAATAACCCTGTTGGTATGGACAAAAGGTACCAATGCTCAGTTATACAAATGTGTGCTAGCTGAGGAATGTGCCTGTCCACACCTAAAGCATCTTTCAGTGCAAATCAATAGCTTCAAACCTGCCCAGGCAAAAAAACAGCGTAAGAGTGATGGGGCAGACACATACCTACAGTGGTAGGTATGTGGCTGGAGGCCAAAACCCCATCACTAGGAGCAAACTTCCCTGCCACAGCCCCGAGAGCTTCCTAGCAAAAGAGCCCTTGCCGTTACATCTGTAATTACATAAATCCCTTCGATGCATTTGTGTCAAAACCATTGACCAAGAAACAGTATTAATTAGACCTAATCCACACTTTGGAGGCACCAGAACATATCATCATGGCTCAAGGGGGTTTAGGGCAACAGAGTGTACATCTCAGCGAAGCTTCCATAATTTTATCCTGATGATTTTGAAGATGTGAATGCACAGAGAAAAAGAGGGAGGAAAAGAAAAGGAAAAATAGCAACTTTGCAAATGTAACTCTACTAAGGTGCTGCCAGCACAACTGAGATGTCTGTGAATAGTCTACTGTGACTGTACCTAGAGAAACTGAGTACACCCTGAAAGTTCATGTCTTTGAGAAATGTTGAAATATCATGGAGGCACCAAATAACCTAACTGCAAGCACATCTATTTGCTTCTCTCGGAGCAGGGAACTGGCCAACTGCATGGGCAAAGGGCTAAATAAATCACCTGGATTCTCCAACGGAAGGCAAAGTCTGGGACCCCTGGCAATGCTCCATCCCCACCAGCCTGATCCCAACACCACTTTCCTTCCACCACACTGCTGCAAAACTAGCCATCTGTTAGAGAGAGCAGGAGGGCAGGCACAGGCAGGAGGAACAGGGAGCTGGAAAGTGCCCCAGGTCTTAGGCTCTGAAGAGTTCAAGGAATCAGGGGAATCTTAAAAAAAAAAACAAAAACAAAACAAAACCCCCCCCAAAAAAAAAACACCACAACCAAAAAACCTCAGAACCACAAAAAGAAGAGCTAAGCAGCAGCTCCCACAACAAAAATGTTATTCCCAAATTAATGAGATTTTGATAACCGCCCCCTCTTTAAAACTGGAGTATTTCCATTCTAAATTGTACAAAGACAAAAATCTTCATAAATACCCTGTTAAGAAACTTCTGCTGCTGTTTCAGAGTTTTGGTCGAACGCAGTGCATGAAGGTTGCCATAGCTACGAGCAGATTTTTAAATAACTGTTTTTCATCAGAGCAGCTGCAATATCGCGCAGAGACGAGGGTGAAGTGGGGAGGCTGGAAGGAGTCAGACCAATTCTGAGCTCCTAATGAAGTGACTCCGAGATTTTCACAAACAGAGCTTAGAAACTTTTAATGCGCTTTCTGCTTTTTAAAGACAATATTGCCCTTTGTTCTTTGGCAGCGCCCCAGCCAGTGCTGTCAGCACCGCATGAGAGCTCAGTCAAGAGAAAAGCTTTGTTTTCCTGCTGGGAGAGATAAAAATTTCCACTGCTAAGCCCCTACCATGGTGCAAGTGCCCAGGCACTGAAGGATGTGCTGCAGCCTCCGGTCTGTTCGCAAGGGCTGTGTGAACCAGTTGATGTGCCTAAAAATGTCACAAGAACCACAGATTTCTGCATCCAGGCAAAACTCTTCCTTACATGAGCCTGCAGAGGAAAACACAGAAAGGATGAAATATGTAAAACAAGTGAACCTGTAAAATGTTAACAGGAGGTTTTGAAGTGGGTCTGATTTAGGTGGTTCTGCTTCTGATGGTGTTAGGTGATCCGTGGGCATCAGGAGGCATTTTCCTCTCCTCTAAGATCTCTCCCTGGCAGGAACAGGCAGAGCAACTTTCTGAGCAACAGTGCAGGCAGATAATGGACATTTCCGCACTATGGGCAACTGTTCAGAGGAGGGCTAGGCTACAGACAGCACTGACAGCATCCTTTATACTCAAGTTTTTCAACCACTGATATTAACTATGGCAAAATTCCTAGAAAACTTCAAATAGATTTATTTTGTGTCCTCAGCCAAGTACATCCCTGTGTCCCAGTCCATAAAATGAGAATAAATACAGAATAAAATTTCTCACAGGAATACCATGAGATTTAACTCCAGCACAATAGTAATTGAATTGCTATCTACAGAAACTGGAAATGCTTGGCTGAGTCCGGGTGTTTTTCTAGACAACAAATTAATGGTTATTATTTAATACACTATTATGAATCTGAAAGAATCATCCCAGTGATGATTATTTTTGTACAAATTGGTTCATTTGTCTATGATCTGCTTCTAAGAGGTAGCTCCACAGCACAGTGGAGTGCTGCCTGCTGCTCCAGCAGTGATGAATGAAGGCTGGTGGTGCTCTGCCATCACCCGTACAGCAGAGGAGTTTACAGGCAAGCTACAGATATTAACACATACAGACAAATCCTCTGCGATTTGTTTGTATTTCAAATCTGATTTTAGAACTTCCTTCACATCTTGAAATGGAACAGCTTCCTTTCCCCAAAATCTGTGTTCCAAAATCAATAGTTTTTTCAATAGGTAGTAGACCATAGAGTTTTTGTGGGGTAAAAGAGAGGAAAACAAAGGGGTAAAAAGTCAGAGAAAGAGGTTTTTTTAAATTAGAAAAAGCTAAAGAATCTTACCTTGGCAGATTCTTCCAGTAAATGACATTTTCTGACTAAAAATTTCCAAGTATTCAAGGAAGTGTTCAAGGCCAGGCTGGAGGGGATTGTGAGCAGTACAAACTAGCCTAAGGTGTCCCTGCCTATGGAAGGGGGTTTGGAACTGGATGTTCTTTAGAGTCCCTTCCAACCCAAACCATTCTATGATTCTATGGTCCATAAGTGTTGGGGCAGTGCAAGTCCTATCTTTAGCGCAGAAAAGAAAAAGTGGAAAATTCCCTCATTGTAGAAACTAATGGGAACCAGAAATATCTCAGTGCCTTAGTTAGATAAAGGGACAGACTGCTTCAGCTGGCTTTGCCCAACAGTCCTCTCCAGGTTGGTAGTGAGCAGTCAGAAAGTGGAAGATAAGGATGAGCCCCAGAAAGACAGCCCAGAAAATATCTTTCACAATAACTCTAACCTAATGTAAATGTTAAAAGTGCTTCTTTGCCAGTGCAAGAATAGGCTAGTACTGCAGAGTTAAAGAGGGATGCCAGTGAACAGAGGTTCCTGTACTTGAGTGCGTGTGTCCTGCCAAAGACACGGACCTTCCAAGCTATATTTAGATATTAACTTTTCTCATGTAGTGGTTTTTTTAAAGGAAAGAGACAGAAGATAAAAAAGGACAACCTGCTATGGCTGGGCTGCCACAAAAACAGAATATGAGTCACTGAAAACTAGTGACCTTAGCAGAGTTTCCATATATACACATGCACACTCACACTCATATTAAAGTGCTGTTGCTCTCAACTGTGCAGACATCAGGATTACTGAACCTGACATAAACTCATCATTTTCCTGGAAGCGAATAGGGATGCTAGCCAAAAAGAAGAGCCACATTCAGCAACAGATATCTTGTCTTGAGGTACCAAAGACCACCAAGTCCAGGGCCATCTCTAGAGGAACATGCAATAAACAGCTACTCATTTGAAAAGACTTAAGATAGTCTGCGGAGAATAAACGCCTGTCTGCAGCCTGCACTAACGCCTCTCATCAGCATTCACTGGACAAGGCACACATGGTGTAAGAAAGAAATGCAGAGGCTTGGGGAGGAAACGATGAGTGGGAGGCAGCAAAAGGGAGCAGGCTTAATGCCACAGGTTGCTTTCTTTTCTCACTTTACCTGCAATGCAAACCACAGGAGCATCTACAGGGCTGTTACTGCTGCAGCAGCTCCTCTCCCTCTGTCTGCCTCTGTCCACTCCCTAGGTGTTGCTCTGCTAATTTTTTCCACTCTGCTTTTGAAGTAGTGCATAAGCCCCTCCAGCACTCAGGAGGTTTGATTTTTTCACCAGATTCAAGCACTATCTTGTAGCAGGGAGAAAAGAGTCCTGGGGGATGAGCTAGAGAGAAGAGTGACGCAATCCCACCATATGCAGAGGAGGAAAAAAAATACCACAAGAGAGATGCCCCAAGAGAGGCAGGGAGGGACTGAGGACCAAGAACTAGGGACAGAATGTGAGCCAAAGGAGTGGGAGGCAGAAAACCGCGCAAACAGCAGCAGAGGGTGACACTCAGGCATTCTCATACCAGAAGAAGAAGGGTGTAGGTATCTGCCCTCATTTGTTCGTTGTGAATAACAAGCAGAAAGCCACCAAGTGCAGAGCAACAAGCAAGCTAAAGAATTCAGGGCTGCTTCTCCATTTTAGGTGTTTGGACTCTTAGTTAAAATGTAGGTAGCCTTGCTGGTCTGCCAGAGGTGTGCCAGGGGATTCAGCCCATTGATTTATACAGAACAAAATAAACAGAGTAAGATTATAGAATAATAAGCACCAGAAAGTGGCATAGATCGGCTTGAAGAGGATGAGGGTATATTCGTTTAGCAAATGCTTTACTTGCCCCAAATTCAAGTTACAGATCTAGAGCAGCAGTAACGAATACAGCTTGATTCACCTGAATGATTCTGCCAAGAGGAAAAAAACTACAATGAAAAAATCAGAATTTCACTCTGAAATTAAACATTTAGAGGACCAGATTGAAGAGATCAGTTTTGTAAGTCAGGGGGCAAGAAAAGACGAGAAAATCCTTCAGAAGAGACGCAGTCATCAGAATTGTGATGCTTTCACTTCTGGTGTTTGTGCACAAAGCTGGTGGATTCAGTAAGGTCTTGTATCAATTAATACACGTAACACGTTCTACATCTGACAGAGCATCAGGAAATGAGTCACTGAATCACTTCAGCACCATGACACTGCATTACTTCAGTGTGCTTAGAGGCACGTAGCCTCATGCAGGCTGGCTGGAGCGTGAGCTGCAGGCTGAGGCATCCTGAGGACTGCCCTGGCTACAGTGAAGTAGAATAAACCAGTGCACTGAGAGGGAGCACAATTAGGCAGACAGAAGGTACGTTGGTTTGAAACTGCATGGTAAGAATACTGTTCTGCTGAAAGACACGGCACTGTCAGCCTGCAACTTGAGAACTTACCTGATTTAAAGATCCCAAGAATGTCCAAAAAGAAGATGCCTTGTCACCCACAGGGCAAGCAAGGTTCAAAAGTAACTACAGGAGCCTATAGCAAAGGAAGAGCACACCGAATGATTGGTCACTGCAGGGCTGAAAGGCAGACTTGCTTCTGCTTTCAAAATAGCTCTGTGTCTAATCATTTTAATCTGTTCTCTCCCACCCAGCAGGAATTGTGGAGCACAGAAAACACCTAGGCAGCTTTGAGACAAAAATGACAAACTCTGGGAACAGCTCTTTCCTTCACCATTTTTTCACGTGAACAGCTACAATCAGAACATATACTTTTTCAGGACAAAAATACCAATTACTTTTTCATTACATGTGGGCTGTGCGACTGTTTTCCTACATGCAAGCCCAACACTGATGAAGAGCTGGAGCTCAAAAGCTAGGCATTAGTTTCATGACTTTCACCTAGGCATAGGCAGTCTGCGGCACTTGGGGAGGTTCAGCGCTATTCACATACAGCCATCAACTCTTTGGTAGTGATATCCTATTTGCAGTTCAAAGGTGTGGTGCTCTGGTGTGTGAATTTGTAGGGAATGAGGAACCACACTCTGGGGGCTCACCATGAGTACCCCCTCACCCTTCCTGGAGTATTACTGCAGGCACAAGCCATTATCTGCCTAACAGCCCTGGATCTGTTCCCTCACTTAGATGACGGTGACTTGTTCACCCCTTCATCTTTTAACTACTTAAGCTTAATTCAAGATAACATCAATTTTGTTATTATTAGTTCAAGACTTACTGTGGACTTTGAGGGGAAAAAAAAAGCATTACTTACACCATATTTTGAGGACTGCCCTCAAAGAGATGGGACTGCAAAGACTCCTGCACCAAAGACCATCTTGATTTCACCAGTGACCTTGTGTGATTACCACTATAAACACATCATCTTCTCTGCTGCATCACTGCCTGAAGGCTGGACTTCATAGCGAAGGAAGTGGATGAAGTTTTGTGCCTTCAGCCATCTACTATCCATCACGCTGCCTGCATTAGACATCCTGTAGAACTATTCTGTTCCTCTTCTTCTGCAGATTTTTCTAACTCTGACCTCAAATTTCATTTCCTCTTTCTGACAGGGACGATAGAGGAAATGAAAAAATGAGACTTCATCACTCTGCTTTGTGCATTCCTCCCTCTTCTTTAATGGATATTCTCACAGCAGGAGCTGCTGGAGCTGCTGAATTCTTCCAGTAACTGTAATATCCAGACTAGTGAGCACAATACACTTCAGACAGCCACAAAGAACATCTTCAACACCTAGAATAAAAACCTGTATAAAAAGCACTTCAGTATGAAGGTACATCTGTATCCACAGGCAGCAGCGATTGTATCTGATTTTTTTTAGTGTAAATACATTTTCAGAATAAAAGGCACATGACAGTTTTAAGCTACTTAGCTGAGCACGCTGCTCCTGCACCTGTGGGATTTTAATATTTCTATGCTTTTGCGAGCATTGCACCACAGGGATGAGATCAATGTATCACTTTACTGAGCTGGAAAAATGTAATTTAGAAGGTGTTATTATTGCAGGAAAGAGGTGGAAAGCTCATTAGCACTGATAACTCTTTACATGTTTAAAGACCACAAATATTATTTTCCTGATGCCTGAATGAAAAATTTTAGCACAGATCCTCCAATAAAAAATACATTAGCCTGTGACTTAAATAAATCCCCCTATAAAGGGATGCTTGTGCTGCTGAGCCTTCAAACAGCACTCACGTTGCCACCACTGATTACACTAGAAACTCCCTAATCCAAACACTCTGGGAGCATATTACCATGTTCAGGAAAGCAAATGTGTGTTTATGTAAGGGTGCTCGCAGCTGGTGCAAATGCATATTCTTTACAGTAGCAACCGAGATATTTTTCTTGCTGACAACGGGTATTTGGCAAAGCAAAAGAAACAACTGCACAGTAGTGGTACCAGACAGAGGAGGTTACAGCACATTATCAGCTGGGAAACTTGGTGCTCAAGTGGGGGAGATCCAGGGTTGTACTGGCCTAGTGAAACTCACCACAGCTGCTCGTAGGAGCACTGCATCACTTCGCACTATTTGGGGACTGTCGTTCAATCAGCAATATCTCAGGATTTATATGTAACCTTGATAAAAGTGAGAGGAAAGAACAGAGTGAATTAAGCAGTGAATAGCAACATAGAGCCTATCAGTTAAGGAGAGATCCAATCACCATATAGCTATTTAACGTGAGAGAGCCTGGCCTTCACAATGAAACCTGCCTGTTAAAATGATTCACATCAGTTATTCTTTCTCTCCTACTTGCTGCTATCACCATCCAGAAGAGTCAGTGAATGATCAAGTGCTTCTTTGATCTCCCGTGTGTATGAAGACAGAAATATCCAAGCTGAAGAACTGAGCCCCATGGGTCTGACAGCGGATTCAATTACAACCCATGGAATTCAGTTCTCAAAGCTGAGAATAAATGACATTCACTTTAAGGCTGTCCTGATGCACGGTAGTATCTCATACTCCTGCTTGCTCTCTCCAGTGACTGGCTGCCTTCCAGGTGCTGTAAAACACAAGAGTGAAATCTTCACTGCAGACAAAGCAACTCTACCCAGACTGTAGGTCAGATGCAGAGTAATGGCCCGAGGACATATATATTGAGAAATGGGCTATTTTATATTTCCCTCTGGCACCAGAAGTGGCCACACACATAGACAGAATGTGCCCTAACATATAGCAGAATCCTTAGTAACAAAAGAATGGAATTTATAGCCAAGGAGTATAACCATATCACATTTTGCACTTTTCTGGAAGCCTTTGGGAATGTCAAAGAAGTAGGTTATAAATTTTCTTCCCTTTTTTTTTTTTTAATGCAATGACACAGGCAGAGAGGTAAAACCTCGCAGAGTCACACAGCGAGCTTCGTTAACAAAATCATTCATCCAGAAGCTCAAGGAAGGAAATCTGGCACTGATGCAGCCCTCCAGAGCTGTCAGAGTCTGGGTGGCAAAAAGGCCAGCAGAAGCCTTCAATGTTACAGCTACGTGGTTGTGCCCTGGCACAACATTGTCTGATGTGACAACCTCATCCCAGGGTGACAATCTCACCCAAAGGCAGGAGGGTAAATACAGATAAATATTGTTCAAATGCACTGAAGATCAAAGCTGACATCTCAGACAGGAAACACCTCATCGCTTCTGACACAGCCTGAGAGGAGTCACAGATTTCATCAAACGTTAGAGCCCAAACTTGGAATTTTTGAGGAAAAACAGCCTGGTTAGGATGTTGGATGATGTATTCCTCTGTAAGTTAGACGTTATGTTTGCATAGCACTAGGTGTAAACGGTGTCGTTTCACTTATAAAAAAAATAAAATTCAGATTGATTTGGAACATTTTAAACATATTTCTTGGTGTTCCAGTGAGAGGAGGCACCACAAAAAAAAATCCCTTTGGGTTCAGTGAAACTGAATATTTGGTTGGTAATAAAATATTTGAGGTCAAGGGGATTTCCGATTAAATATTTTAGCCTTAAAACTAAATTTAAGTCAATTTACTCAACAAAATGGTTCAAAGAGAAGAATTTTCTTTTTTTTTTAGTGTAGCATTTCTAAATTGTAGATAAGTATGATTTGTTTTGAAATAAGAATGTTGAAGGAAAGTTAAAAAGCATCAAGGAGTTTCTAGTTTTTCCCTGCGAAAGTAATTCAATTCAAAAATATTTCCAATTTTTTTGACTGGAAAAAGCCCAACTTATTCCAACCAGAAATTTGCCCAGCCCCGGCAGGAGTTCAAAGCTCCCCCAGTAAAACTCAGTCACGAAGCTGAAGTCAGGGGTACCAGTGACTGTGCAGCCAGCACTGTGTGGATATTAAAACCCTATTCTTTGCACAGCGTGTCCTACAGCAATTACTATCTGGGTTTCTAAATCGTTTAATTTACCTAGGAACCCACTCTGAAATGTATCTCTAAAATCTTCATCTCAAATGATAAAATTGCAGTGAATGATTCGTGATAGCATCCGGTGTCACTTTTTCAGCTAAATTAGTAACACATCAGAGGCTGAGCGCAGAGTGCGCTGTTTGGCAGGACATCCAGCAGCTCCACTGCTGCAGCATCCAACTGCGTGCCCATGTCTTTATGGCTGTAATTGTTTTCTTAGGCAGCTGAACCAGTCAACCAAACAACAGAAATTAAAAACATGCTTCTTTAACTGTTTCTCTTGCTGGAAGGGAAAGCTCTGAACAAACATTTTTGCAATATAACTGTCTTGTGGTCCCCACAGTCCCACCAGTCTGTGAGTGGGACTCTGAGACTTCCATTACAGGAAAGAAAACCAAATCAACAAATAAGACACAATTTTATCTGCAACTTTGGAATAAGATACTGCAGCAATGAATTTTGCTTCTCTGATTTTTCTGGTTGGTCACTGGAGTACTGCTTGTGAATGAGATCTTCTTGACATTAAGCAAGACGTTCACCAGCAGCATGGCCCTTCTGCAGTGATCACTCTTCCAATCTCGAGCAGGACAGAAAATCAAATGGCCATTGATGGAAACACAATAGGGTAAAACAGAGAAAGGCTCAGGAAGATTAAAGGATGTTCCCAGCCCTTGGGACAGTGCCCCTGCCCATGGCATTTCTATTGAGTGCCTACAAGGAGTTGGCACTACCTGGGTATCAGCATGGTCAGCACACTCAGCTGGAGACACATAACCTTGGCACTTGTTTGCATAGTGCAATCAGACATGCTAACAACAAGGAAAAATATTAAATGCCTCTCCACGAAACACAGTTAATGGACCTGTGGTAGCTCTAAGCTAGCTTGCTTGGGCAAGCTGAACACTGGGGTGCAGCATGGTGTGCTCCCCAGCCCTGTGCTCAAGAGAAGTTAACCTACCTCTCTTACTTCCCAGGTGAGTGCCTGCACGGTTGTTACCTTCCAGGGAGATGAGCATGGAGAGCAGACATCCACAGAACAGGGATGCAGATGAAATCTCTGACTTGGGAACCTGCAGCACCCTCTGCAACAGGCAGCTCTGCTCCCTCCCAAAGCTCTGGGAGGACACCCCAGCTGAGCTCTGTATCAGTGAGTGTGTTAGTAAAATCCCTACAGGGCAGGTATGGACTGGTGCATGCTCATAATTCCTCAGTAATTTTCAGTGTTAAGTTGGTTTTAGAGGTATTTTTTAACCAAGTAGGAGAAAAGGTCAAACTCTCTCAACTTGCCTGCTGAGTTTAATACTGTTGCAGTGCATTAGCTCTCACAGCTTAAAAATCACAATGCCAGTTTCAGCCACCCTCTGCTTTGACCGCTTATCAACTTCAAGTGTGCCATCCTCTGTCCTTTCAGTGTCGTTCCTGCAGTGCCCCCCTCCCTGTGAGAGCTCATTTATTCAAGGATTAAATTCATGCATTTGCAAATAAGAAGGCAGCCCATAAAATTATATTGTTCTCCCTTGGCAAGAGCAGCGAGGAGGTGAGGTTTCAACAGGCCATAAATCTACTTTTTGAAAAAACATTATTTTTTCCTATTCCAGCAAGCTCCCTTAGTACCTCATAGCTTGGAGATCTCATTACAGGAGAATTAACTATTCCTTCAGAACAGATACTTCGTAGGCAATCATCATATAAAGTTTTACTGCTTTACCGAAAGGCAAACCTTTTTAGAGTGATTAAATAATGTTAAGTGCCTGAAAACATTCTTCCATAATTTTCCTTTTGGAGTAAATATGTTTTAACAGGAAATAACAGAAAGATCCTAAAGCCATTAAGTTAATGGAATGTATAAATTCTCCACTTTTTCCTTATCATCCCTCACTTCTATTCTTGATGTTGGCATCACTACCTTCCTTTTTGATACAATATCTACATTTCTCTGAACATACAACTGAAGAGTGAGATTTTAATGCTTCTTAATCAGTCAATGATCTACTGCAGCTTCGCATGAAATCCAGATACTATTCAAATGAGCTCATCATGGGTGGTAGTTAATTAGCACCAATGGGCGACTTGAAATAAAATATGAGTATGGTCACATTTCATTAGGAGCATAATGTATCTCCTTCACCCTTCTTTAGTTAAATACGTATTCCCCACAGCTAGTGGAAAAATACATATCTCACAGCTACACTGACATCTGCTTAGTTGAAGCAAGAGGGCAAAATGGAAGCTGAAGTCGCTCTAGAGATCTTGAGATTAATAAAAAGAAATCCCGCAGCCCTAAAGGACCACAGTGACACCAGAGGCAGCCACACGCTGGACCCCAGCAGAAGCTTTCAGGTTAAAACTGTCCTGCTGTGTCGCAGGGTGTGAGAGCTGAGGGTTTCAGAAGCAGGGCCGTGGGCTGCATGCTCTGTGGAGCCCGGGGTATTTTGCTTGCTGGGCAGATGTCTTCCACCCACCCGCTGTGACAGCACTGCCAGGTGCTGCTGCATACCAGCCTTGCACCTGCTGCTAGGGTCAGTGAGAAACTGCTGCTTGGCACAATAAACCCAGACTTCAACCTTTAAAACCCAAACTATCAACCTTTAAAACCCTTTCCTGACCTTTCTGGGCTTCTCCATGTAAAAAAGTCCACATTTCTCCGATTTTCCCTCCTTTCCCACATCCCTTGGCCAGACTGGCTGCTTGCCCTGGCCCGTCTGTCCCCGCTTAGCCCGGGGCAGGCAGCCTCCTTTGCACCCCACAGTAACTGAAATTCATTCCCCAGCTCACTGTGCTGTGAGGGCCTTGGGGAGCTTGCCTTGTCCCTGCTCAGGGATACACCACACCAAAACCAACCTTTCTACACTGTTTCCATCACTCCTACTAACAGCAGAGCTAAGGATCAACAAGAAAGTCTTGACTCTACTGGTTAGGTACCAGACAAATGCTGCCCATATCGTAACACACCTTAAATATTGTTAATACCTCTGAGTGAAGAAAATACGCATGTTTACAGGCAAAAAGTGTTCACATGCAGAGACATGATTAACCTTTCCTTGCTCTATAAAGATCATGTTCACCACTGAAAAACCCAAGACCAAAGTTTCAGTGCAGACTTAAAGGAAAAGCACACCTTAGCTTTGCTCTTGAGCTACACTCTGCCGTTATCCAGCAGTTCACATCAGACATTGATACACTGGTGCTAAGCTCCAAGATTACAACCAGGTTCCCACCACATCACTGCCAGATGAGGAATTGCCTGTAGGTATTCCTTCTCCTGAACCCTTCAAGGTGATGAATGCATCAGGCCCATAATGCCTTCGGCCCAGCAACTACACAGACACTTTTACTGTCCCCCCACTAAGAAGAAGAAGAAGAAAAAAACCCCAGTTATTCAGTATTTGCAGATAAAAATGTACATCTCCTGATGAACTGCTATCAGCCCAAGCACATATTTTGGGCTTGGCAGAAGCAAGTGTATTTGTTCCCAATATGCTTTCTGAAACTCCCAGATATTTCCTGGATGCATTTTTAATATCAAGTGGTTGTTATATTTCTACTGCCAATGTCTATGTCATGAATAACAAACATTCAATTTCCTCTCCTGTAGAATTATTCCACTCTGCTTCTCTGGACATTCAATTCTGTTGTCTCCATTTTAATCACATTTTCCAACAACACAGTGCTTTGTGCAACAGACCATCTTTCTTCAAGGAAGATAAAAATGATTGCATATTCCATTTCATTTTTTTGGCCTAAAACATCCCAATTTGGGTGGGGGGAGGCATTTTTTACTTAATTTAAAGAAAAAATACATGGCAAAAGAGATACCAGGCACAA